ATATAGAGTATGTACAAAAAAGCCCGGCACTCAGGAGATAAGATCTGAGGGATATACGTGCGCTCATCGCCGAGATATGCGTGCTCGTCGTCGCAGACGGCGAGCACGCTGGCCTGGACGACGTCGGGATGACAAGGTGACATCGGCCGGCATGTGCTGATGACATCTAGGGGCGTTTAGAACTTAATGGGGAGCTACACACGTGGAATGGCTTTATACGGGACTGACAGCTGTCAGCGGAGTGCCAACGGTTGACAGAGGGGAGGGATACACGCCAGCAAACGCACAAGTCCCCTTAAATCAGCAGGATTTTAGAAGGAACGCGGGGAACGGCGGAAACCAGACCTGCCAGATAGGTAGACTGACAGGTGTCATCAGTCTAGGGAGATATCATTTGACGGGAGTTATAGGTGCGTTTTCAACGCTGACGCGACGACGGGCATGCAGGTCTACTCAGTCCACACAGAGCCCTGCATTGGTCCCATAATTAGCCGATTGTTCATATTCATGCATCATGTGCGAATTGTCTTTGCAGCCTGCATCTCTACACTGACCCACCAGTGTCAATGCAACTCGGCATTCTCAGGCTCAAACTCAGGCTCAAAAACCATGACAGTTGGAAATCATGTTGACAATATTTGGGTTACATGTCCTGACGACTCTCTACAATGACATAAAGTTGATGCGACCGCATGTAAAACTGGAATTGTTTATTCGGAGACTAGAGATTGGAGGAGGCTACATAAGCTATTACAGAGTTCTTCCGTGACGAACAACGCGGCAACTATCTGATCGAAGGCACCATGTAGTCTAGTGCTTAAGCTATAATCTCTTCATTATCAGCCGGCATTGGTGACAGAGCTATAGGGGATGCAGCCCGTACACCAGCAGGCAGACGACGTCTTGTCGGTACTTTAAACCAGAAGGGATCCGAGTTAGACCGGTGAAGAGCAAGATAAGCACCCTCAATCACGCTGAAACGTTCTTCTCCTGGCAATATTTGGTCAGGCGTGAAGCCTGAGCTGGCCTCCCAGCTCTTGAGCTTCCCAGCACACAGGACAGACAGCGTTCCCGGCATAAAGGCAACTTCAAAAGAGAATCCAAGCTGAGACGAGTTAATAGGAGCTTCGGCGTCCATGTCGTAGATGTCCAGACAAAACTGTCCCTCCTCCTCGAGGCCACCGTTCCAGAATCTGATCGTCAGGTGGTTGGTGTCGGGAACGTGAACTATGTGGACGTTTTCCTTGGCGGGATCCTCGTCAGGCTGTGGTTTTCTCTGTGAAATCCGTGGTAAATGTCGGCTATATTACGGAAGGAACGACTTACGCCCTGACAAAAGCTCCGTCCAGGCTTTCCACAGCCACTTCTCTCAAACTTCTCGTTCACCATTGCGTCGTATTGGCGTCGCTGTTCCGCCAGTTCGGATTCCGGTATGCGAAGTTTTCGAAAGAGATTGTCCAGTTTCTCGTCGGACACGTACAAGTGCTGATACTTAGGGTCGTCACCAAACAGGTCATATCTGTATTGTTCCCAACGATTGCGCATGACCTTCGGCTGGCGGGTGGAGGAGGTTCCGGAACATTTGCTAGAATCAGCCTGAGAACGCGTAGCTTCCTGGGCGCGGAGTCAGAAGTAGCATATTGCGAGTCACGAGTACTACCTTGGATTTTCGGGTAACTTTAGGCATAGCGGATGGTGCGGTAGTTGGGGAATACGCAAGGAGGGGCAGCCTGGCAGCGGTGGTCACGTCTAAACACGTTAATGAACGGGCCGTGACGCGGACACGCACGTGAGAGGGTTCTCACGAGTTGAAGCCACAGGCAAGCATGCAAGCGATTAATTAATGTCCTCAATTTGGTCCTCAAGCATACAAGCACATAGTATCAATATCGGGCTACAGTTATTGTATCGTAACGAGAGCACGACTTCTGATTGGAAATAGTAGTACATATCATACATATTATTATCAAAATAGAACAACGCTTCATAGAGGAACAGGTGATGCAGCCCGATCGAGTGACACCAGCCTGAGCGGGCGGACGGTTTCTGATAGTAGGAGACTTGAAACCAGAAATGATCCGAGTTAGGCCGGCAAAGTCCAAGGTAAGCAAGCACCTTCAGTCGCGCCAAATACATCCCAGCGCCATGGAACGCTCAAACTCGGCATTGAATACAAAGGCTGTAGGTGAGAAATCATGCATGTGCGCGATTCGTCACGATCGCATAACTTCAAAGTAGTGCGAACGGGTTGCAGAAAGTGTACAACGAACTTCCCCCATTTGTGGAATAAGAAGCATGTCTCAGCCGGGAGAAGCAGGCTAGAAGCTAATGGGATGACACGGTCATGTACACCAGGACTTCAGTGGGGTATACTCTCGCACTAGCATGATAATAACCCGCTCAAACCCACTGATCTAGTAGGTTTGCTGCTTTGAAAGAGGCATTTGCCATTCCTATATTATATGTTCCTCCATGGCGCTTAGGCAGAGCAATGACGAGACGGGCAGACAGAAAAAAGGGAAGAGGAGACAACTCAAGACGACCGCCAGTTTCATGTCAGAAGACTAATGCGAGGAATCACTTTCGTATTCGGAATCTGATCTACGTGCTTTTACATGTTGCGAAGTTCATTCCAAGGGACAGGGCAATGCACTGTCTGCGAGCCGATAGGAATATCCCTCTTCGGAGACCTGAAGAGGAATGGCTGGGACGAATTAGGGTGCTCGAGCGACAGTAAAGTATCTTCTAAAATACTAAAGCGCTCTTCCCCTGCGCGAATCTCCTCGGGAGTAAATCCCATGTTTGTCTCCCAGCTACGAAGAGGACCCGAGAACGCCATCGTCAGTTTTCCGACCTCTGGGATGACCGTGAAGGAGATTCCAAAGCGAGACGTGTTTACGGCATGCTTAGCAGACAGGTCGAAGAGATCAAAGCAGAATTGGCCTTCATCCTGAAGACCTCCGTCCCAGAATCGAATGGCATAGCCGACCAATCCCGAAACACCTTCAATACGAACATAATGAACGGCGTCGGAGAAAACTTCACTAGATGAGGGCTTCCTCTACTCGAGCACGGCGCTTTAATCAGTATCCCGTGAATCACTCAGCAATGGAAGACGTACGCCTTGCGCCGGTAACGCTTCTCCGTTGGCAGCCATCGAGGCGTCGAAAGCCGTGTCGTATGCTTTGAACTGTTCTTCCCAGCCAGACTCAGGAAATCCCGTCTGTTTGATACTCTCGTTCAACTCGGATTCAGACATGTAGCGGTCTATAAGTGCCTTCGCGTCTTCAAAGGCAGGCAACGGGGGAAAAAAGTTAAGTTCTTGTGCCCCTGATCAGCAGCATGTGAAGAGTAAGTTTGCGTACGTTTCTGAACAAGGATTTGAGAGGGAAAGCGGCGTCTAACCTAGAAGAAAGCGGCAGGATGACCCGGTCAGAGCCGATAGAAGCGAAGAAAGTAGGGTAGGATACACCTACGGGGTTTCAGTACTCCCAAAGAGAGTTTGGCGAAGAACAGCCCTCTTGAGCTTGAGCGAGTGATCTATGTTTGTATGGCACTATAAATAGGGTGACGTTCGGATATCACCGTGGGCATAATGTCGAGTCAAGTGCGTCGAAACAGGACGCGTGAGTACTTGCAAAGATTGTGAAAGAAGCAAGCAAAATATGACTCGGACAAGATCACATTGAAGGTAGCACGATCTCGAACCAGCACTGTTCCCGCCATTGGAATTCCAGGCCGAGGATTTGATCGGCTATAAGGCCCAATAAGTAGCCTTCCTTCCTTCTGCCGAGATTTCATATCAAATATACTCGTGAAGTACGCCGATCTGAGGGCGCCGCACGAGTCATAACTACTCTGACTCATAAATATTTCTCTCGGCTGTGTTTGATAAAGACTCGTGCATATATCCTGTCAAACCTAGAGGCGTGCGCATGAGAGGTTATGTACAAATGTAGAAAAGAATAAGGAAAAGCTCTTCTCAAACCAGAAACCTAGTGATTGAGTCATCGAAACTCCGTTGGCCGCTTCCAGCTGGACTGCGCGTCGAAGCCGCTGTCGGAAAGAGCTGCTGTGCAACCACTTCGTTTCGGGTTACGGAAGCTCCACCTAACTTCTGATGATTGCGGCAAGACACCTAACACCGTGGCCCTGTGGTGGTCCCTTCGTGGCACCGTCAGATGTTGCTGGGAATATTTCAGTGGAGACTAGGTACTTTGACAAGAGATGAGCGCATCGATGAGCCTAAGAGTCTAGCTTTGCCCCAGACAACAACAGTCGAGCGAAATAAGACAAGGAAATACAAGATGATGGAATTTAGATATCAATGGCATGCCGATCGATACAAGCAAGACACAAAATTCTGCTATAAGCTAGCTTTCAGGTTGTAAACTACGCTTCGCTAAATGTTGCAAAGTCCTGGCATAGCAACAGGTCGGTGAATCACCTCCGACTCATCGAAAGGATCAATATCCCTCTTGGGAGAGGAGAAAAGAAAAGGTTTGGATGAGCTCGGGTGTCCGAGTGCAACTGTTGCGTCTGCGATGACACTAAAACCTTCTTTGCCAGCGAGGATTTTGCTGGAGGGGAAATCCATGCAGGACTCCCAACTTTGCAGAGGTCCTTCGCAACCCATCGTCAGCTTTCTTATCTTGGAGATGACTGCGAAGGCGATCCCCAAACTGGCCGGATTAACGGATTGTGCAACAGACTTATCATAAACGTCAAAGCAAAATTGACGCTCTTCCTCAAGCCCTCCATCCCAGAAGCGGACGGCGATGTTGTTCAGCCCAGGAACACCAGCAACATGGGTAAGGTGAACGTCGTCAGAGGGTGTGGGCTTTTTCTATATAGTCAACAAAGCCCACAAAAACTCTTTAACAGGCCGGGAAACTTATGCCCTGAACTAATACACGCGTTACGCTCCGGGGCTCCGGATCGCTTGCGTTCTTTGGCATGCGTAGGAGGAGAAAGCGGAGTATGGCCCTGAGGACGTCAGTATCAACAGAAAAAAATCCAGCACCAAGATAAATATGCCAACCCCAATGGCACCACATATAAGGTGTTTGACGTACTGAGCTTCGGTTTTCAAAGCTTCAAGTGCAAAACTTCCGCTCGACGTGGAACCTGCGTCGATACGTTTTTCGTGTTATTGAGATGCATTTGTGAAAAAAGCGACAGAAAGGTTATCGATGTATACGTACGGCTGCAGAGGGCAAAAATTACTCCGTGTTCTACTTTACCTACGCGTAGACTATATGGCTATATCACAACCAGCGGAGAGTTATCAACAGCCAACACTTCAGTCAGAGGCACAGGCGTTGCAGGCCTTACTCCATCAGGTAGACAATACCTCACCGGCACTTTGAACCAGAAAGGATCGAAGTCGGGTCGATGAAGGGCAAGGCAGGCGCCCTCGATCACACTAAACCGCTCTTCTCCTGGCAATATCTGTCCTGGCTTAAAGCCTGACCTGGCCTCCCAGCTGTCAAGGTCTCCAGCGCACATCACCGAGAGCGTCCCCGCGACAGGGGCTACTTCGATAGAGAAGCCGAGTTCGGATGAGTTGATCGGCTCCTTCGTGGCCATGTTGTATATGTCGAGGCAAAATTGGCCCTCATCTTCAAGGCCGCCGTCCCAGAACCTGACGACAAGATGGCTGGTGTCGGGAATGCGGACGATGTGAATGTTCTCCCTGGCTGGATCCTCGTCTCGCTGCGGTTTTCTCTATGTGGGCCGTGATGAGCATCGACGAGGATGGAGAACTGAATAACGTACTCCTTGACATGGAACTTTTCCGCCATTATTGTCGATTTCTGCATTATATGCTGCGTCGTGTTCGCGCCGGTAGCGTGCAAAGTCTGATTCGGGTACGCCAAGTAACCGATAGAGTTCGTTCAGTTCCTCGTCGGAGACGTATAAGCTCGAGAAAGCAGGATCATCTCCGTAGGTGTCATATATGTGCTGTTCCCAACGGTTGCGCATGACCCTAGGTTTGCGTGTCGAGGTCGTTCCGGACGGCTTGGTGGATGTCGAGGGCGCCTTGCCCTGGACGCCGCGTGCTAGCTAGAGGCTGGGTGAGCGGCAACAAAGACTTCTCTTGCATGTGAGTATCTGACCTTCGGTTTCTGAGCACGAGGCATGCGGGATATAGCACCGCTTGTTAATGCTTGGGTGGAGGTGACGTTGAGTGGAAGGTTCGATGACAAGTACGTCTCAGCACGAACGCAACACAAGCGCGGCGCATCCAAACGCGTCCCATTAACTCGGTCATGTGATCACATTCTCACAGGCTCGCAGCGGATTGGCTGCCGGATCGCCTGCCTCCGGTTTCGTGGTCTTATCACAACCGACTTGCAGCCCCTAGCTGCGAGGGCTTGGGGATGCAGCGGTGCGTCCGAGATGGCAGCATAAAATGGACAGTATGTTATTGTTTTGATTGCATCTGCTCCAACATTGAAGTCCTTACGCGAGTGCAGCCTATTCATCCTCTTACAAGTTACTCATCGGATATTGAACGTGAAGTTCCGCGTATTCTCGAGCCATGAACCAATGAGTCTCTATGATTATCCTACGGTGCTCTTGTCCTTGAGTATTCCGTGACACGCAACACCTTATGACTCTCACTACATACGTGAGCAACATAGCCTTTCCCGCGATGAAAATGCTGGCTTGAGTTGCTGTGGATTCCCAGGCCACGCCGTGGCTAGATTTCATTGGGATTGTCAAGCCACAGCTACTGACAATCAATGCAGTGGTCTGGGTGACTCAAAGCTTCCAAAAGTGAGTCGCTATGAAAATCGCAGACAATCGATAGCGACACGGCAAAGAGAGCGGGGGACCGCGTCATGATGCTTTGGTGTTCGCCGTGATCGTCGCAAACCTAGTGTTCTATCAAGCAGCCTCTTCATATATTGAATGAATGAATGAATAAAGTGTCATTTCTATGTGCTGGTGGAGTAAAGTAAACCCTAGAAGAACAGTTCTACGCTTAGTATACTAGATCTAGTATGTTGTGACTCTTGTAAATTCAAGGTAAATCCCATCTGTTTTAGAATCTCGTTGAATCCAGATTCAGACATGAGGGGGTCTCTAAGTGTCTTCGCGCCATTGAAGGTAGGTGGCAGAAGAAGAAAAAATAAGTTGTTGCGCCCATGATCAGCAGCATGCGATGAGTAAGTTTGCGTACGTTTCTGATCAGGGGCTATGGGAGGGGAAGAGGTGTCTGACCTAGAAGATGCGTGGGTATAGATCTGAAGAAGCAAGCATATTGATGACTCGGATAAGGGGCTCGGCCTAGTTTGTCGAACTTCAAAGAACCGAAAGGTTGCACGCTGATGATTCAAGACAATAGGAGCTCCATCTATGTTTATCAACCTGATATGGTATAGTGAACGTTTGCTACCGCCAAGATGGGGATATATCAAACGGGAGAATTGAGGCACTAATAAATGAATCACCAGACCAAGAGTTCGATCGGATACAAAGTCGAGTCATCTTCCAAACGTGCTGCAAATATTCTTTTCTTCTACGAGGATTTGACTCAGAGGAATTGCCTGAATGATATTTGATATGAAGTTTGATTAATCGAGCGTGCACGCTACACCAGTCATAGATACCCTGACTCACCAACGTCTTTCTCGACTACGAGCGCAACATCACAGACTGCTGGCTGTGTTCCGAATCTTTACCAGCCAATTGATGAAGGCTTGTGCATCATCCTATCCTTTCGAACCTGGGAGCGTGGGACACCACACATCATGCACAGAGGCTCAATTATGCTGGACTGCGAATTGATGTGACTTGCAATAAACTGAAGAAGTCGTCGGAACATTGCTGTAACCCCGTGCTTCTATTCGGATTACGGACCCATCCACGTCTCTGCGAGAATTTTCTACGCTCGGGCATTCTTATGTACCCCGAAGGTTTTGACAACAGAAATTTAATGTGCCCTCTTTCAATGAACCAAAGATTTGAGGTGAGTCAAAGTTCTCATTTGGACTCTAAGTAATTCCACAGGGTAACCTCCGTATTCAGTGCTTCGGCAGAGTCGTACTCACGGCTGGCAGGTCCTTCGCGACGAACGAAATGATAAGAGGCTGATATCCGAGTCTTCGAAGCTCATCCGAAGCACCAGTCTGACGATGTAAATCTCTCATAGACTTATTAAACTACTTCGCACCGCTTCTAAGTTTCAGTGGGCGTTGCTGCGGTAACCCTAGGTTCAGGCTCAGGTTCCTGGCAGTGGGTAATTCACACTAGCAACCATACGTATAGTGCCTCGACTCCAATTTCGGCTTCATAAGCCTCCTGTAGCTACAAGCTAACATTATAAGAGCGGAGAGAGGTCTTGATGATATTTAAATAGCAAATGTTCGCTCTTTACCAATCATTTATGCCTCGCATGAGCCAGCGGCTCTCGAAAGCAATATTTCACTTGGTTCTACTTTTAGTTACGAATCCAACATCAAAATACGAAGGATTTTGTGGTAAATTGCTGCATTTTTCCCGAGAGGATATATGAGAGGACGTTGTTTATCCAAGATGTAGCGAAGAAATGAGACCAAAGTGCAAGGATGGGACAAGGAGAACCTCGCCCTTAACAGAAACCAAGTGTTGTCTCTATCATCAGAAAACAGAAGGGGGAGATAATGTACTGAGTCCCGTGGAGCTTAGAGACCCTCGACGCTATAAATTGAGAGAACGCATCATTATTAACCTTGATGAACCATTGCTAGCGGTGCTTAGCACCGGCCAGCTCACACTTGCTATGAATGTCGGAGGCATTTAGAAGAGATTCGCAGATCATTCACTAGATACGTGCCTTCACATTGATTCAAAAGCAGGGAGAGAGATAATTGGTCGAAAGATAGAATAAGAGACATGCAAGAACTAGTCAATTTAGATCAAAAGTAGAATGGTACAACTGGTGCGTAAACTCCGATCTACATATTACGCATCGTTACGAAACATACCCCCAGGAATAGTGTGAAAAATTGGTGCCGCCATATCCGAGTGGGTCACATCTCGCTTCGGGGAATATAAACGGAAAGATTTGGATGTGCCTGAATGCTTGAGCGAAATCAAAGCATCTTCTATGATACTGAAGCGTTCTTCGCCAGGAAGGATATCTTTGGGGGATATCCCGCTGCCAACCTCCCAGCTATGAAGAGGGCCTGCACACCCCACCGTCAGCTTTCCTAACTCTGGAATGACTGAAAAGGAGATCCCAAGGCCTGACGAATTAACGGCTCGTTCGGTGGATTTGTCGAAGAGGTCGAAGCAGAACTGATGCTCCCCCTCGAGCCCTCCGCTCCAAAATCGAACGGCAACCTGGCTCAACTCAGGGATACCAACGATGGGAGCATATCGAAGCCGTCGGAATAAATGTCGTTGGGAGTGGGCTTTTTCTACCATACGATTAGCAAATATTAGGAGAATAAGCAATAACTGGACACGTACGCCTTGAATCGATACTTTTCCGCCGTTTGCAGCCATGCGACGGTTCACAGAATCATCGTATTGCTTGCGCTGCTCCTCCCAGGAAGACTCGGGTAAACGCAGACGTTTGAAAAGTGCATTCAAGTCTGCGTCAGAGACGAAGAGACTACGATACTTCTCGTAACCATCAGGGGTACGACAAAGGGACTTTTCAAAATCGTTGCGACCCGACGGTCCGGATTGCTTGCCCCCCCTAGCGGGAGTGGGAGGAGGAGAAAGCGGTGTCTGTAGTTGCAGGCGGTTGAAAGGGGAAGACCGGTCAGAAGCGATAAGCATGAAGAATGGAGGGTGCGGGACCTGATGTTCTCTGGTATTCCTTTGCGACATGTGGCGGACTTCACCCTTGGGGCGCTGGAGTAGAATAAGAAAAAGGCGGGGAAGGGGCTTAAAGCATCTGTGTTTATACGCCGCTACTTAATGTGTCGCCACAAACAAGGCGATATCAAGATTGGCAATCGTCGGATGTAGTACCGTCAAAGACACCGAATTTGAGCGCTTGAGCATCAAGCTGCAATTTTAGAACGAGAAGGACGTTTGTCCGCGCCGCGCCTCTCAAAATGCTACTGTGACTCAGATATCCCGAGATTCCTCTTCCGGAAATGGATACTGCATTGTGAGGTAAACAAAACACCTTGTGATCATGTTGCAATTGTGCGGCCCAGCGAACTTATCTGTTATTGATGCCAGGCCACCGAATCCTCGCACGGAAACATGAGTCACTGCATCGAGTATGCTAGGTAACTTGCTAAAAATCGACGGCACCCACGGTGCAGTTTCTTCTCAATAGTCATCCTGAGTCATGAATCATGCATCGCGAATCGTTTGATCAGTGCTTGCGCATTTGTCCTGTCATCCCACCAATGGAACACGACATTCTCAGCAAAAACAGAGAACAACAAAAGGGTTCTTTTCGATCTGACTCGTTTAGACGCTCGTACTAGTGGCCATCTTGTTGGCATGTGCGCCGTAGCATCGCTCACATCAGCACCCTCATCGATAAAAAAGCTGTGTTATCCCATTTATTTCGCCCCCAAATGCTTCTGCTATCTTGTGCTGATCCAGATAAGTCAGGGAACACGGGGTTGGTCCTCCTCTTTTTTAGGCGCCTTTCGTTCTTCTAGACACCCGTCATTCCGATCCGGAACTACGGCTTCCTCGACTTGCAAACCTGGTCGGGGTTTAAGATTAGCGATTTCTCGCACACCTCGCCCAGCTCTTTCAGCGCGTTGCTTCATACCCCACCAGCACTCCTCAGCTCACTCCTCCTACTATGGCACAATATCCTGTTGGCAATCAAATTCTCGCTCAGGGTTATAATCCTGCTGCCCACGAGGATAGAAGAAAGCACGGCATGCTAGGCTCCGAGTCCACAAAGCATGTAGAACATCAATCGTATGACATCCATCTGTGCAACTATTTTGACCCTCCGCCTGTGGGTCAGGAGGAGACCGCAAAGTTCAGAGTCAGATGCGTTGCCGTCCGGATGTATGCCACTCTCGTGACTGTCGAGGAGTGCGAAGTCCCCCCGATCTACATAGGGATGGACAGCGACTGGGCCCCCAACCGGGCTATGCTTCCTTTCCTAGACGTTGACACCGTCATGATGGAAGGACATCCCAATGATATCATCCAAAGATTGGTGAGTACCACTAATGGTCTTATTACAAGTAAGCTGACGAGTGTCTCCCAGAACGTTCCGCTTGGTCCCAAAATCCCCACAGTTGTACACATCAATGGCCATGTTCATGAAGGTTATATCGTTACGTGGTTCTATCGTACGCTACTCGAACACCATGTTCCCGGCACCGATGATCATAAGTTCCACTACTACAAACACCATCAAACGGCCGACAATCGACCGTACTACGACGCTAACGATACAAACTACAAGACGTTTGACATCTTGAGCTTCGGGCTCCAGGTGCAGAACTTCAGACAGGCGCTGTGGTATTAGTAGGCTTGGTTTTCTCATACGGAGCGTCATCATGAAAGCGTTGTTCTATGTACTGTTTTATACGGCGAATTCCTATGTAAATGCGCCTGCAACTCATACGCAGATGCATCTAATATCTTGGCACAATTGGGATGATTTGAAACTTCGATAGTTTTTGATCCAGTAGTGAATACAATGAAGCTACACCTACGCTCAATAACGTTGCCACAGGACATGTACCATGGCTACATCAATTCGCCGCCGTGGGGCTTAGGCCGCTTAGCACCATTCCAGATAAACTGGCTGCGGGTGCTTCGGTTATATGGATGTAACACGGCAAGACGACTCTGCGTTATCGTACATCGATGGATGGATAGCGTCGGTAGCGCAATAGGCACAGAATATCAGCGTGTAATAATATAACTGTGCGTGTGCACATAATAGCGAATTGGGTGATGCTACATAACAACTACTCCAGAGTGCTCTGCGGCGAACAAGTTACCTACTCGATCGAAGGTACCATAGAGCCTGGTGAATAAGAGTGCTATCGTCATAGTTGTTATAGAGATATAGGGGATGCAGCCCGTACACCAGCAGGCAGACGACGTCTCGCCGGTACTTTAAACCAGAAGGGATCTAAGTTAGACCGGTGAAGAGCAAGATAAGCACCCTCAATCACACTGAAACGTTCTTCTCCTGGCAATATTTGGTCAGGCGTAAAGCCTGACCTGGCCTCCCAGCTCTTGAGTTTCCCAGCGCACAGGACAGACAGCGTACCCGGCATAGAGGCAACCTCAAGAGAGAATCCAAGCTCAGACGAGTTGACAGGAACTTCGGCATCGATATCGTAGATGTCCAGACAAAACTGTCCCTCATCCTCGAGGCCACCATCCCAAAATCTGATTGCCAGGTGACTGGTGTCTGGAACGTGAACTATGTGGACGTTGTCTTTGGCGGGATCATCGTCGGGCTGCGGTTTTCTCTGTGATATTTGTAGTAAGCATCGACTATCACATCGAAGGAATGACTTACGCCCTGGCAAAGACCCCGTCCCTCGCTACCACCACTTCTCTCAAACTTCTCATTTACCGTCGCATCGTACTGACGTCGTTGTTCCGCGAGTTCAGATTCTGGTATGCCAAGTCTTCGGAAGAGGTTGTCCAGTTTCTCGTCGGAGAGGTACAGGTGTTCATATTTAGGGCCGTCGCCATACAAGTCATGCTTGTACTGTTCCCAGCGATTGCGCATGACCTTCGGTCTGCGTGTGGAGGAGGTTCCGGAACTGTGACGTTTGTTGGATTCAGTTTCAGAACGCGTGGCTCCCTGGGCATGGACTTAGAAGCAGCATGTTGTATGAGTGACAGATACTACCTTAGATTTTCGAGCAATTTTAGGCATAGCGAATGAGGTGGTAGTTGTGGAATACGCAAGGAGGGCAGCCTAGCGTGGTCACGGTTGTAACGTCTAAACAAGAATGAACATGCGCTGAGACAAACGCGTCTCACCCAGTCAGATCACGTGTATTTGTTCTCACGGGTCCGCGGTCGATGAGATCAAGGAGCAGTTGTCAATGCTGCAGACAACGGGCAGGCGGTCCTTAGGCTTTATCCTCCACTCCGCATCACCATAGGAAATCGACCTGCTATGGATCCACAAGCACCCCTCGTCGTAGATAACGGAACCGGCGTCAGTCTCATCTCCCCGATGTCTGTAGAATCTCGTTGACCCCGCTGCGCAGTTCGTTAAAGTAGGCTACGCAGGCTCCAACTTCCCCGAACATGGTACGCCTCCACTCACCGCACTCGCCTTTCTATCCCACAAGCCGACCTCACGCATTCAGTCTTCCCTTCCGTGATCGGCCGACCGATTCTGCGTGCGGAGGAGCGCGTCGGGTCCGCCGTGATCAAGGACCTCATGATCGGCGACGAGGCCGCCGAGAACCGCAACTACCTCCAGGTTACCCAGCCGATGGAGCACGGAATCATTCGAAACTGGGAAGACATGAAGCACCTCTGGGACTACACCTTCGACGAGAAGCTGCGCGTTGATCCACGTGGCCGCAAGGTCCTCCTCACCGAGCCCCCGATGAACCCGCGCGCGAACAGGCAGAGGATGGTTCAGGTTATGTTTGAGGAGTACGGCTTCCAGGGCGTGTATGTGGCCATTCAGGCGGTGTTGACGCTGTATGCCCAAGGTGCGTAGTGTGCTTCGCTGGTTTGGGTTAGACAATTTGGTTATAGGTGCTTACGAGACGCTTGATCATGGCAGGTCTCACGACGGGTGTCGTCGTCGATTCGGGAGACGGTGTCACGCACATTGTGCCTGTATACGACGGTTTCGCGCTCCCTCACTTGACGCGTCGATTGGATATCGCGGGACGAGATGTCACGCGGTACCTTATCAAACTCCTTCTCATGCGCGGGTACGCATTCAACCGAACGGCCGATTTTGAGACTGTTCGTGAGATCAAGGAGAAGCTTTGCTACGTCAGGTACGTTGCCACACATACTTATAACCAAGGTCCTCGTGCTGATATCCTATAGTTATGATTTAGACATGGACGAGAAACTCTCCGAGGAGACGACAGTACTGGTCGAGAGCTACACGGTGCGCCTCATCCTGCCCCGCCATGACGCATGTAGCCAATGAATCCTGCATGCAGCTACCGGATGGCCGGACCATCAAGGTTGGCTCTGAGCGCTTTATGGCGCCGGAATGCATGTTCCAACCACATCTCGTCGATCTTGATCAGCCAGGAGTCGCAGGTCCGTATCTCTTTCCACCGAAAGAGATGACGTTGTTATTTACCTATTGTTATTCAGAAATGTTGTTCGAGACCATCCAAGCCGCCGCCGTCGACACGCGCTCCGAGCTGTACAAACACATCGTCCTCTCTGGTGGCTCCAGCATGTACCCTGGTCTGCCGAGTCGCCTTGAGAAAGAGATGAAGCAGCTGTACCTTACCCGCGTGCTCAACAATGACCCGTCGCGGCTGAACGTAAGCTCCCCCATCCCTGTTTCCCTGTTTCCACTCCATACAAACTTTTCTTTGGATCGTGGATCTAACGATTGTTTTTGAATGAACAGAAATTCAAGATTAAGATCGAAGACCCGCCCCGCCGGAAACACATGGTCTTCCTCGGTGGCGCCGTGCTCGCAGACATCATGAAGAACCGCGAGGAGTTCTGGATATCGCGGGAGGAGTGGTTCGAGCAGGGCGTGCGCGCGCTCGACAAGCTTAACCGCGGCGAGAACTAGGCTGGCGGAGGTGTAGCGGCTTGTCTTTTTCGGTGTACAGTATCTGCTTCTGTGCGAATAATTTCGATTTCGGAGGTTTTGTTTGATGCTTAGGCTTGGACTTGGAGGTGGGGTGTGGCTTTCAATACGAGAGATGGGGTTCCAGAGATGATGTGGCCGGATGTACGAGCACGCATCGCTCACAGGCTGATGCACAGGTTGACTGCAACTGGACGGGCACCGTCTGAAGGAAGGGGGTAATAACTAGTGCCCAGCCGGCTTGCGCACGTCCGTGGCCACGGACTCTTCGTGACGGTCGAGCGCTCGCTGATTGTTACATCGATGAATGTCAATATTACACTTCTAAGTATGCCGACTGTTGCATCGGAAACTCTGACCTCCAGTTTCTTCAAAACGGCGGATTGGGCGACGCAGCCTAAACGCCTCCTTTAAGGGTTCGCGAAATAATAATACATTCAGGTCTACAATGGAGACAACGAACCACTTGAGTACAAGAGACACCACCAATACATATGTTACACGAAGTATCGGTAAAAGCTTCCACCTGTTAACCAAGAAAAAAAGAGTATGCCCAGATTTAGAACAACAAATATTCCATCAGCAACCCATGGTGACACCATTATAGGGTCCGTCGTGGTCGCTCAACGTGCCATCGAAAACGTTGGGCACGTCACCGACAATGCACTGCGTGCTTGGGTTGTCCTGGCCTGCACAAATCCATCAGCCCTCCGTCAGGTACCGTATCCCGTCAGCCACGAGCAAGAACTCACCAGGACAGCTCGCCCACTCGCCAACGTCTTCGATGTGCACCTCGCCGGCGGGGTGCACGAACCCGAGGAACATACCCGGGACGATGGGGATCGGGTCCTCCTCGTTGTTGATGTGCGTCAGGTGGAGGTTCGCGTCGACGTAGTCCGCGAACGCCTGGTTGCCCACGCGCGGGAGGCCGTAGTTGAGCGTCTTGAACGACGTGCCCGAGGGGAGGTGCAGGGGCAGGTAGACGGAGTCGAGTAAAGAGAGGGCGGCGCCGAGCGAGTGGCCGACGAGTGTGACGGCGGTGGTGGAGTACTGGGACATGCCTTGTTGGACGGCGGCGAGGACCGCGTCGGCAGTGCTGCGTTATCCAACCGATGTCAGTTTTCAAGGTCGGCAGGGTAGAAAGAGGGTAAGAAGAACGCACAGCGCCTGCTCCGCCAAGAACCCGTTGTGCACCTCGATCGAGTCGCTGACGCCCGGGAACAGCGTCGAGTTGGTGTTGAGCTGCTCGAGGAAGAAGTCCGCGTCCGTGAGGTCCGACTCGAACTCGGACGGATCCGTGCCCTGGTGCGCGACGATGATCTCGCCGAGCGTCGGGTCGTACCCGACGTACCAGTACTGCACCGAGTCGCCGTCGCCGCCTGACGCGATTGGCTCGAAGGAGGGGTTGTTGTCACAGTTCGCTGTTGGATCGCACAGTCAGCTCCTGTGTGATGTATGGTGGGAGGGAAGAAGGGAGGAATAGGTACGCACTACCGCAGTTCCAGGCGAGCGTTGCACTAGGTGCACAGTATCCGGCGGAGGCGTACCACGTGTACGGCGTGAAGCCGTCAATCGTGGACTGGCCGAGTGCGGTAATGCTCTGGCGGCGGATGGGAGCCGGAGAGGCAGCAGCAAGGCCGGCGAGCGCGAGCGTGAGGAGCACAAAGGACATGATAAGACTGCGTGTGTGGACGTGAAGCTATGGCCACTGTGTGTGCTCTAGAGCTCCTGCACGAAAGCGAACAGGTTGGGGATGGACGACGCGGTGATGCCCTCACCATCCCTGCTAATGACCCGAGTTCTTATATACGGCATTCGCTGCCGAGGCATGGGGACAGAAGAAGGCGAGAGAAGATGGCTCTGCAGCACGATTGACAAGGACGGGAATAGATGGGCAGAGCGTGCGTCCCGTGATGAATGATCATTGGACGGCTTTGGACCTAGAAATAGGCACAGCGCTCGGAAGCTGTCGACGAGGCAAGAAAGGAGGTATTGCCATACTGTACCGTACGACTGCCACATGGAACCACGACAGTAGATGAACGATAGAACAAAAATCAGTGTGGTGTTGGTCCCTGAATGTGGGGAAGCATTCGTGTCTCCATGTGCTCTGACTTGCTCAAGCTCGTTCTGTATCAGACGGCGCTAACGAGCGAAGACAAGGAAGACCCTGTACTGCGACTCACTTGGACTATGACATGCAGTGGCTATTTCCTTGTTGTATAAAGGATTCCATGAGCAATATTTGTACTCGGCTGCGTATACTAAAGGTCATGCTGATCATGTCCAAGCTAAGCATCAATGCCTGTCAGTGCTGGGAAGTATTTCCAGGCGTGTTCAGCTGTGCGTCAAGCATTTTCCGGGCCCAGTGGGAGGGATTCATGGGAACAGATAACAGACACAAGGGGGGATTTGGGATTCTTGAGTGCGAGAGAGCCTTGCTACAGTGGAGCAGCACGCAAGTGGTCAAAGGAGGATAGAGAGGTGTAAGCTGTGGGCGCTCTTTGGTGATGGACGTTGATGGACGCAGGGAGGCTACAGTTTATATTGGCTCATGTAAAGTAAATAATAACTGCCCCATGGCTGAGTTGGTTACAGCGTCCGACTGTTAATAGACAATCGGAAGGTCGTGAGTTCGAGCCTCACTGGGGCAGGTACTTTTTGTCTTTGTTCGCAATATGGGAATTTGCTTTTGCCCCTTTCAGTGGTGCCGACGGTGGCACGGTTATAGTGCGGGACGCGGTGTCTCACTGATGCCACCGGTGCTGTTCTCGTTCACGTTCGTCGCCTACGACATCCATGGCCAATCGCCCACTCCCCCATGGCACACGCGTCCATCGACGCACTCTCAAAGTTTGGCCAGATGTGTCCTTGCTATCCTGTTCCGCCGTTGCGTCCAGTTGAAGCAGGCAGCTCCCTGTTACTCCCCGAAAAACGCCACCAACTCGAACGTTCATTCAATGCTAGTTCGGCTCCCTTCAGTAATAACTCATGTGTGTCCGACATCTTCAGCTCCAGGCACAGCGCTGCATGTCTCCTAGTGCCGTCACTTCGGAGCACCAGAGATGGCCGGAACCATCTCCATCTGTCAGGGTAGCCCTTAAACTATTAGTGGATCACACTAGTCATTCATGGTCCTTTTATAGGCGCGTCTCACATCGAGGGAGTCATCTTGACACCTACCTCTTCTCACCTTCAGCGCGACGCGACGACGCCTGCTGTTAGTCATGCTTTTTACCAGTTTGCTTGCGCTTGCAACCCTCGTCGGCGCTACGGCTGCCCAGGTGCCGACGTCCACCTATACCGTCCCAGGCCAATTCCCGACTTCACTCTATGAGTCTTACTACAACAATCCCACTGCAACCTCCGCACAAGTGCAACCCGTCGTCTCGGATCCGGTCACTGTACGTTCATCCACGATGTGTTCTCTTCGTCTCCCTAATCTTTGCACCAGAACAGCGTCTTCCCTGAGTGGCTGACGGACCCGGACAATATCCCTCAAGTACGTCTAAGTATGCTTTACCTAGCTCATCCGTGCCCAATCCTTCATAGAACAACACCATCGACCCTCACCCGTTTCCCACAGCAGCCGCGTCCTCTGCGCTCGTCGAGCAAGCCGTCAAGCAGATTCAGTCCATCGCCAAGAACACCGCAGTGTTCGGCAGCAACACCTGCGCACAATGCCAGGCCGGGCTCGAGGTCGCCAAATTCGTCGCGCTCGCCGTGCCGGATCAGTTCCCGGACTTCACGATCGCGACCTGCGAAGCGTTCAACTACAGCACGACGTGTGAGCAGAGCTACATGCGCAACACGCTCGGGTGGGTGTTTGCGCAGACGGCGTACTGGGCGGATGTGGGAGGACAGGATGGGCAGGTGAGCACCTGATCGTCGCGTTGTACCTATCTCCGCGGCGACACTCTTGAAATAGCACCATATCTGACTTGCTATCCTTGCCTTTGCCTCTGGGTTCTCGCGCGTGAAGATGCTGTGCTGGCAATTCCTAGGCCTGTGCGACGAGCCGCCGACGAACCCGCTCAATCTGACCGGCTGGTTCGCGAAGCCGAAGCCCGACCCACTGCCGGCGCCTAAGCAGCCGACCGGCGAGCGCATGAAGGTGTTGCACCTTTCAGACTTGCATATTGATCCCCGTACGTGCATATATCCGCCCATTCGGCCGACACGTCTAATCGTCACGGTCAACAGGCTATGCCATCGGTGCCGAGGCAAACTGCTCGAGCGGCCTGTGCTGTCGCTCGAACGCGTTCAACACGGACAGCCCGCAGACGCCGCTTACCCCTGCGCCTCGGTTTGGCACGTACAACTGGTGGGTAACAGTAGATATGCTATCGACATTCGGCTCATGATTAGTCGATAGCGACGCACCGTTTGCGCTGGTCGCCTCTGTGCTGGAGGCGATTCCGCCGTTGACGGGGACTGAGGATGGTGGATTCAACTTCACGGTCTTTACAGGCGACATGTTGTCGCATGACCCGGAGTGGGAGCAGTCGCAGTGCGTACAATCTCCGCCTTCTTCCTTGTTCGTTCATTAAACTTGCCTTCCGTAGAGCTTTCAACGAGTATGCCGAGGTACGCCAGCACGACTGAACAATCCAATGAAACGACCTGACTAGCTTTCACTCAGGTCGTTCTGTTCGACCTCTTCAAACGTATGCTCGGACCTGGCGCGGTATATGCCACACTCGGGAACCACGACTCCTATAACCAGTAAGCTACTTCACCAGAGCCAAACGTCGGCAACAGCTCATCACCTGACAGAGATCTGGCAACACCCATGTCTCGAGGCCAAGGGGAAGGCCAGGAGTTCAGCTGGTCAGTCTCTCTTCTCCTATGTTCCTTCACTCGTCAGTGAACCTTTGCTTTGCAATTTGTCAGGTTGTACGACCACGTATCCGCCCTCTGGGAATACGAGGGCTGGCTCAACTCGACTGAAGCGGCTGCCGCCAAGGCACACTACGCTGCTTACTCCGTCCAGCGTACGGACGGCTTGCGCATCATCTCGCTCAACACGAATCTTTGTGCGTGCCTGGCTATTTCCGTGCTGTACCTAGCTCATCGCCTCCCTGATCGTTTCCCACTCGTGCTATAATCTGCATGTGTCTTCCATCTCGTGATGATGCGTGAATGCTCGTGGGTGTGTTCACCTACAGGGTACAAGTGCGTATTTTGGCTGGTCACCGGCGATCAGCCAGGACCACATGCTGATCAGACCTGGCGATGATAACGTCTTTGGTCACGCAGGAGCAACTATCTGATTTATGTCAACACTACAGAGGCTGATCCGTCTGGCATGTTGCGGTTCCTCACTGACGAGCTACAGGATGCGGAGGATGCCGGTGATAAGGGTATGTCTTTCGCCACCTTTACTGTTTATTTGGATAAAGAAGAGCGAGAGCAGACGCTGACTTGTGTTCTTGCGGATATAGTGTGGATTATGGGCCACGTGCTGAGCGGATGGGATGGGTCAAATTCGCTCAGTAATCCCACCAACTTGTGTAAGCTCTTCATGTTGCAGGATACTAGATGGGATACTGATGCGTATTATGAAATACAGTCTACCAGATGTACATATCAACGTATTGTGTTGCTAGATGATAGACTCTGACCAGTGACCATCAGCGTGGATCGGTTCTCGCCGCACGTCATTGCGAGTACGTCCTTCAGGTGGACGAAGTATAACGTTTGCTCACCGCGATTTGACCTTTTCAGACATTGTGTTCGGCCACACGCACGAGGACGAGTTTATGGTGAGCTGACTCCGAGATTTGCTCGGGCGCCGGCCGCGTACCTAACCTTCTCGTAGATTTACTACGCGAACAACGCTACGAACCAGAGCGCTGAGACTGCGCTCACCACCGGCTGGGTGAGTCACTGGGGTATCTCCAATGAAAAATAGCACTTATGTATGCTTTGGCAGATTGGACCATCAGTAACGCCGCTGACGAACCTGAACTCTGGGTTCAGGGTGTACGAGGTCGACTCTGGAGTAAATACTTCGCTCATGGGATTTGTTCTATGGGCTCATCCTTCCTGTTCAGACGTTCGAGGTCGTTGATGCGTACACGTGGCGAAGTGCCGTGAACGAGTACCCCGCCCTCGACAACCAGACCGTGTACGGCCCGACGTACGAGTTCGAGTATAGCACACGCGAAGCTTATGGCACCAACATCACCTGGGGCGCGAACGATCCGCTCAACGGGACGTGGTGGCACCTCGTTACCGAAGGTGCGTCTCCCTTTCGTTCGCATTCTAATTTCTTCCTTTCTTATACGCTTACACGAAAACGCGAACAGAGTTCGAGAAATACCCGGAGCTTGTGCAGCAGTTCACGATGTACCAGGGCAAGGGCTCACCACTGAGCCCGAACTGCACAAGCACCGAGTGCGTTGAGGCCAAGATCTGCTACATGCGGAGCGGCTCCGCGAGTATTGGGAAGAACTGTATCCAGGGGTATGCGTCTGTGCAGTAGGCCTCTCGTGCTTGAGGGTATGCTTTGGGGTGTATAAAGGATAATTGCATCGTGTTATAGAATGCAATGCGTGTCCTGACGATACGCTCAACGACTCATGCAAGTGAACGGGTTCGATCCGAGCTGACAGGCTCTCACTACGACAACCCGAGAAGACGCTATCCAACGCAATTCTCCTGGCTACAGTGCCTCGCGGGCGTATCCGGCTCTTCCCTCAATCATGATGCTTTCTTTGTGATGTTCTTTCCAATTACGATCAATTTGGACTCCCAGATTCAATCAGCCGCCGCGTCCGTCAACTACGGCAACCCTCGTCTTATGAATAGACTGGCCTTTTCTATAGTCTGTCGGGGCCCTTATTTAGGCGCATCCCACATTTCGAGAAACGTCGTTGACCCCATCTCTTCCCTCGTCCAGCGGGATACAACAACTCCTGCCAGCGACCATGCTTTGCGCCAGTTTGCTCGCGCTTGCAGCTCTCGCCGGCGGTGCAACAGCTCAGATCACGACGTCCACCTACATCGTAGCAGGCGCATTCCCGACTTCCCTCTTCGCGTCTTACTACAACAATCCCACTGCGACATCGGCCCAGGTACAACCGGTCATCTCGGATCCCGTTACCGTGCGTCTCTCCGGTGCTCATTCTTTCGGCCTACTTAATATCTGATCAGAATAGCGTTTTTCCTGAATGGCTGACGGACCCAGACAATATCCCCCAGGTGTGCTAATATGCACTGTTCTTTACTCGCCCTCGACTTACACGTCATAGAATAACACGATCGACCCGCATCCGCTACCCACAGCTGCTGTATCCTCGGCGCTAGTCACTCAGGCCGTCAAGCAGATCAGGTCTATTGCCGCAAACCCTGTGTTTGCGGACAATACATGTACGCAGTGCCAGGCATCTCTCGAAGTCGCGAAACTAGTCGCGCTCGCGGCCCCAGACCAGTTCCCGGACTTCACGATTGCAGTCTGCGAGGCACTCAACTACAGCTCAACGTGCGAGCAGACTTACAAGCGCAATTCGATTGGTTGGGTGCTCGCGCAAACTGCGTATTGGGCGGACGTTGGAGGATATGACGGCCAGGTTAGTATTATAAACGACCATTAAGTTGCCGGAGTTTTGATCACTATGGTCTGCATAGCTTCTGTGTTACGAGTTCCTCGGCCTGTGTCCAGAGCCGCCGACGACTCCACTGAATCTGACTGGATGGTTTGCGAAGCCGAAACCTGATCCACTGCCTGTGTCCAAGCAACCGACCGGGGAGCGGATGCGGGTCTTGCATATATCTGATCTACACATTGACCCCCGTACGTGCGCGTGCATCCACATACATGCTTCTGCGGTTATTGACGTTTGTGTGTGATAGGATACTCGACAGGCTCTGAAGCCAATTGTTCGAGTGGCTTGTGCTGTCGCTCGAATGAATACAATTTAAACAGCCCGCAGGCACCACTGCTTCCAGCACCTCGTTTTGGCTCGTATAACTGGTAAGAGAGTCTCTATCTCTGGATAACTAAGTGCTAAATGGAAGACAGCGATGCGCCTTTTGCGTTGGTAACCTCAGTGCTTGAGGCCATTCCGCCGCTCACGGGCACGCAGGAGAGCGGGTTCAACTTTACTGTCTTCACTGGTGACATGCTATCCCATGACCCGCAGTGGGAACAGTCTCAGTAAGTACGCTCTTTTGGTATTGCTGTCAATCTCTGATGCGTTGTCCTCAAGGGCTTTGAACGAATACGCCGAAGTATGCAAGGTTTTGTACAAGAGTGAGCCAGAAAATGGTGCTTACTGTTTTGTTAGGTCATCTTGTTTGACCTCTTCAAGCGTATGCTTGGCCCTGGACCTGTGTATGCAACCCTTGGGAACCATGACTCGTACAATCAGTGAGCCTGTGCCTTCCACACCCAAACTACGGTACTTATTCTCATCGCAGAGATTTGGCAGCACCAATGTCTCTTGGTCAAGGTGAAGGCCAGGAGTTTAGCTGGTTCGTCCCATTATATCATAATTGTGCTAAGTCCTCTCATCGTTCTTCGCAGGCTTTACAACCATGTCTCTGCCCTTTGGGAGTATGAAGGCTGGCTCAATGCAACCGAAGCCTCAACCGCCAAGGCACATTATGCAGCCTATTCTGTCCAGCGCATGGACGGCCTGCGCATGATCTCTCTCAACACTAATCTTTGTGCGTGTCTCGCTATTAATGTATCTTAGCTTTCCGCTCCCGGTTGCATTGAGCAACAATCATTTATTCTTGGCTAACGTCTGCCATTCTGTCTTGTTCGTCCTCCAATCCTACAACACCGGAACACTCTGATAACCCTGATCACTGTTGCAACGGTGAACGGTGAACATGATCTCGGGGCGTATAGGGTTCAGGTGCGATATGGCTATACATCCTCGAGGACTATGCGTTGATAAATTTTGTATTTGTCCAGAAACAACTACTTTAATTACATCAATGCAACAAATTCGGACCCGTCGGGAATGCTGCGTTTCCTCACTGATGAGTTGCAAGATGCCGAAGATGCAGGCGATCGCGGTAAGTTCGCTCCGCCATGTCTCCGCAATATATGGTGTAGTACGGAGACTCACTGACAACTTCTCATGGTAGTGTGGATCATGGGCCATGTTCTCAGCGGCTTTGACGGTACCAACCCTTTGAAGAACCCAACGAACTTATGTGAGCTTGTGTAATATTATCGCAATGAAGCGTATAACTGATCAGCGTACCGTCACGCAGTCTACCAAATGTACGTAGGACCATTGTTTTTGCACCCCTTCGCACTGCTGCTAATGGGTGGACACTGAACGTCATGCAGCGTAGACCGGTTTTCCCCACATGTCATTGCTAGTACGTTTCTCCCGTTGACAAAGCGTCGTGCTACTCGATGTTGAATGATGGCCCGTAGACACAGTGTGGGGACATACGCACCAGGACGAGATGATGGTTGGTTCTCCTCTGCTATCCTTGATTTCCACGTAATGGTGGCCTTGTAGATTTACTATTCGAACAATGCCACGAACCAAAGCGCTGAAACCGCACTCAACACTGGCTGGGTGAGTGGTCATCTGCTTCCCTGTAACCGTATTGCTCCCAACGTAAGTGGATGACGATCAATATACTGAAACTATTCCAGGTTGGGCCTTCTGTGACCCCTCTGACCAACCTCAACTCCGGGTTCAGGGTTTACGAGGTTGACTCTGGCGTACGTATTCACTTGTACCCTCTAAATGTATCTTTCGCGCTGAACTTTACCCGTGTAGACTTTTGAAGTCCTCGATGCCTACACGTAGGTATCTTTGGCTTATCTACGTGTCACCTCTCATATTGAGTCTTTGCCTGCAGCTGGAGAAGCGCCGTGAACGAGTATCCAGCTCTTGATAATCAGACAGAGAACGGCCCGGCATTTGAGTTTGAGTACAGCACACGCGATGCGTACGGGACAAACATTACATGGGGCACGAATGATCCGCTCAACGGGACGTGGTGGCACCTCGTCACTGAAGGTACGCCATGGTCTCGTTCACTCCACGGCTTTATGCCTGATTCACTTCTTCTTGTTCATTGCTCACCGATGCATCCCCTTTTGCAACCGCAACAGAGTTCGAGAAATACCCAGAGCTCGTGCAGCAGTTCCAAATGTATCAGAGCAAGGGATCACCGTTGAGCGTGAACTGCACGAGCAGCGAATGCGTCGCGGCCAAGATATGTTACATCCGGAGTGGTTCGGCGTCCATCGGCCAACAGAACTGTGCCCAGGGTTATCAGTCTGCTGTGTAGTATGAGGTGTAAGTGATGTGAGGCATATGAAAGTCTGGACTCAGGCTTTAAGTCTCATGGACGTTATAATATCTCATCTGAAGTGATGCTCTCCGCAATGTATCCCTGTTGCAACCGTTCACGCGCACGCGTGGAAACGTTGACTGTGCTCTTGCGCGTATGCTTGCTGTTCTGCAACGGTTGCCATTATATTTTGTACAGGCATGGCAGAATATTCTGGAACACGACAACAGCATCTCATAAAAGCAGTTCAAGAAGTTTACCCCAAACATGCAATGCCGTAACTCATGTTTCCTTTTTCGTTCCTCCATCTCTCCAAAGCGAATGATAGACGCCCATTCTGATGCATGCATTGATCGCTACTACCCCTTTCCTTTCATTTTCTCAGGTTCTTGTTGTCCAAAGCTTCCATATTGGCTTCCGCCGGTAGTATGCTGTGGAACACCCATCCGATATAAAGGGTTTGCTTGCTGTTCCCGGCGTTGCATCCTCGTCCTGTCCGTCTACCTTCCTCGCTTGTTCTACTTTGATCCCGCGCGAGCCCTTATCACGGTCACGCTCGAGCTCAACGCGAGTACAAGCTAGTCAACGGAGATTTTAAGTTGCTGTGTCATTACGCACAATCGAGAGCATACTTTGCTATGGACTATAACGAAGCATCGAGAGTCGTAACTGAGTACGTCCCCTCAGTGTCGAATAAGACATGTTACTGATCATCCGACCGCTTTCAGATACATCAAAAGTCCTACGGGTCATACGACCCATTATCTCCGATTCCTACAGGCTCTGATTGTTGAACTCGACGTTCGTGACGCACGCGCGCGGGACTTTCCTCGAAGCGTCACTGCAGCGAAGAAGATGATCAAAGCGGAGATTCACATCAATATCAAGTCGTACTATCACGCGCGGGGGAAGGGCCAGGCTGCCATAGTGAATCTGAAGTATCCCAGTAAGGCTGCGCTTCAAAGGGCTCTGAAGGAAGTTAGTCACAAAAAGCGCGCGGGGTTAGGATGGGTAAAGGATAAAGGGCTACAGGTGCTGCTCGTGTTGTTGTAGGTGCTGCGTGTATATATTGCTAGGATCCGACATCTATCTTGACTTGAAGGCGAATATCGATGGTTTATCCGAGTGAGATGAGAAAGCAAAGGTGTTGGGAAAAAGATATTGAAAGTGTCTAAGAACGGCGCGGTTGATCTTCTCAAATGAATATTCCATGGACCAGAAGAGCGAGTGCCATCGCAACGCTAACCCCGACTACGCTTTCGAGGCGAACACGCAACTTCGGAACACGCATCGGAACGCGGCGCCACGATCGGATAATTTCCTTCGCGTTGAGGTGGTAGATGTCCAAGGAAATTCTCTGTCTTTCTGAACATCTCCAGCTTCCACCCTAGAACCTGATAGTGAGACCATTGTTGGCGCGAACGACTTGGATGCAGACGTTTTCCTTGACAGCTCCAGCGCAGACCGTGTGGACAATCTCGGCGACTGCCGAGCCGTCCGCTTCCGCCTTTGCCTTGCCTTCTGTCTTGAGTGGCGACTCGTCCAGTGGTTTGCTCCATTTCCCAGGCGAGTAAATCGAAGTGTCTCCTATCGTCATCATCACACTCAAGCAAGACACTGACTGATGTAGCCTCACTGACGAACCATGGCGCAGTCGCCTGTTAAAAACAGCTCACGTTCCACCCATGAGCATGCGAGATGGCCGGCTCAAGCAAACATCCATTCTCTTCCCCCCGAGCTGCTTGCTCGTATCATGCTCCTCACAATTCGTAGTGTGATGATGACGGCCATAGATGATCAGACGCTGGTTTTGTCTCGCGTTTCCCGGCACTGGTGCGACGTCGCCCTTTCCTTCCCTCGTCTTTGGACAAGTTTCACCGCAGACAAACGTTACAGCCTGAAGAAGGCGCGGTTGTTTCTGGAACGCTCCAGGTCCGCTACACTCGACATCGACATCGACATCTCTCCTGCGGCCACCGAGTTTGGCTCGGGTGGGGTTATAGCTCTCGTCCTGACACAGACGTCAAGGTTCTCCGGACTTGAGGTCACCACCCATGAGGCGGAGCTTCCTGATGAATTATATACCAGGCCTGCTCCGAGTCTGGAAAGCTTACGTATTTTCTACCGACCGGAATCTTACGTTGACGGCCCAGATATACTAGAAATCCCTCACGAACTCTTTAACGGAGAAACTTCCTCCCTGCGATCTCTTCTCCTAGGGGGATGCACGGTGATATGGGGCTCCTCGATTTTCTCTAAACTCAGCGAACTGAAAATATATTCGAATTCAGACTCGGTTGATCCGTTTATCACAATGGAGCAGATGGTCACCACTCTCAAATGCTGCGCACCTACTCTCGAAACGTTGGTCCTCTGTCAGTGCATGGCGCCCGAGTCATCCTTACCTCCGTCCTGGGCGATCCAACCCGGAGCTGTGACACTCTCGCGGCTCAGAAGGCTTGAACTTGAAGCATTGCCGCTTTCTTTCCTCGCTCACTTCTTGACGTTGGTCGACTTCCCCCCCACAATCCAGATCAAGATCCTGGAAGTCGACATCCTTGAAAACGAGGCACCTATAACCACTTCATTCCCAGTTCTTCCCAGCAAGCTCTTCCTAACCCTGTATGCCTCACTCAGCCCTTCACGGTACCTTCGCGTTTGCATCAGAGAAGACCAACTTGACATCGATATGTCGGATAGTGATGAACTTAAAGGGGAAGCGCCTTGGTATCGCAACCGAGTCAATCCTTGGTTTAAGATCTCCTTCATGTGGTCGCATATTGGGCAGGGGGTTGACGCGTTTACTCGCACCTTTCACGAACTCGAAGACCTACCTTTGTTGGAGATCCATACGCTCGTTATAGGCGGCTCTTCGGTTCCCTCCAAATGCTCGTTCTGGGAAGGCTTCTTCCGCAACGCCACTCGGGTTCAGCGCCTCTACCTCGCGCATTATAGGCTCGAAGAAGAGCATCTGGTAAACATCATCCAAGTCCTTACCCCCACACACTCCAACCAGGGTGATGGTGGAGATGATGGACTCCTTCTACCGAGTCTTGTGCACCTGCACTTCTCTACAACGCAGATACAAAACGTGTCCGTGGACCTCATGCTTGACTTCTTCAAAGGTAGGGCTCATGTTGGGGCAAGACTAGAACATGTGACGATAAGGAAGCCTCGTGAGGTGAACTCGGACCTTCAAGAGTATGCTGAATTAATTGGGGCCAGTCTCGTCACAGATGGAGACAGCTAGATGGGAAGATACTAGTGAGGCTTCGAATTGCGTGAATCCTCGCTGAAATTAAAACCCTGGTGGTTCTGTAGACATCCAGCAACTGCGTGAGGCATGGCGATGGAGCAGCATACCAGTGGCACGAAGACATCGATATTTCCGTATGATATAGGCTGCTGTAGCCACTAGCGTGTATGCTTGAATCGATAGCGAGCATCAACGCTTCATCACTCCTTGCTCACTCACGTCTACTACAATATATGATCTTGTAATATCATCGTCCTCGTCTAATCGTATCTGGCCTTTTCATCTTCATACTTAGCCTCCTCAACTGCCCTCGATTCCGCTTTCGGTAGAAGAGGCCAGCTACGACACCGATTGCACACACACCGAGCACTGATCCAACAACCGCTCCTGCAATCGTCCCACTCGAAGCCGAATGATGGCTTTGGGAAGTCGACGTAGGAGGGAAGTAGGTGGGAGGCGAGCTGGATGCAGGGAGGGTGAAGGATGGAAGGAAGGATGATGTAGCACTGCATAACCAAGGTTAGTCGTTGTCTCAAACACGACCATCACAATTACGCACCTGCTGTTCGTCACGTTCAGCTCAATATACTCTATGTCAAAACGTGTTGTTGCTTCCTGGGGTATAAACGTGATGCCGAGGGTCGTAACCTGGGTATCGGGTATGTCGGCGCCAACGATGAGCTGAACGTCGGACTGGATCTCTTTGGTAACGAAGACACCGGTTGACGGGGCGGAGAGGGTGAAGTTTATGGTCGCATTGGAGTAGGGGGATGTTCTCACTTGGACAGAGGACGCTATATGCGTCGTGAGCTGAATGTTGACCAAAGGCGCCTGCTGTTTGTCGGACTCACCTCGGAAGCTGAAGAAGGCTTGTGGTATGATGTCACCAGTTGCGTTGGCTGGTCCATAGGTTGCGACAACAGACGTGTTGGGAACATCGCTCAGAACCTGCCTGGGTCATATGGGTTAGCTTGAGCGTCAAGGCGTCTCACAAAATTGGACGTACCATACACCAGAGCACGACTCTGACACACTCGCGTTGCAAAGCGCCGGACTATAATCGATATCGGCCGATGTGCTCGGAATTCGGACTGTTTGTTGCGCGTGTGCTCCAACCGTAGCTGCCGCAAGCGCGAAGAGGATGGACGACAGCTGCGATAGCAGCATGCGTCTCGGTCAGGCCGGTCAAGGGTAGGAGGGCGCCTGTCGCTATACCGTTGTAGTGGGTGGTGGGGGGAGCGAGGACGCCCAAAATATGCGCCCTTGGGCCATGTGTTGGCAACCAATGGTTTCGAATCACGGTGCGGTTCTCGAGCTGATCCAGATGGCAGGGAATCGTTCATCTGACCAGTCGAGGCGCCCAATGGCATACATGAATGGACGAAGAATTCATTTAGGGACGAGGCTGGTCCGTCGATGGCGCAGGAAAGGTTGAAAGCATCCTGATTGCGGGCCGTCGGTCGTGATGCATCTTGGAAACAAGGGTGAATTGCTGATATGTTTGGATCCGCAGATGAATGAGTGGGAACAAGTCGCGAATTGCGATCCCCCATGCCGGAAGTTGCCGAGGAGGAGGAGAAAGACGGGTTGACGGGCGTTGCCGGGTGTGTTTTTATCCCAACGCACATGAGCGCACACGCTTGCAGTTAGGAATCTATCGATAGTATGCAGGATGAAGGCGTTCACTCAGCGCCGGGGGCAGCCAAAACAGCATTAACGACGGTCAATCGATTGGGGTGCCTCAAAGGCATCACGGAGGTGGGGAGAATTACCATGACTAGCTTACGTGAGTCTTTCGGATGTACTGTTCCATTCAAAAGCAAAATTGAGTACTTCTTTGCCAACCGCGACCACCCAGCCCTTTCTAGGACCGCTACCTTTGGATATCAACGCTCTCATTCATAGCCATGCGACGGCAGCTATCACGGGTTCTGCGTATACATTGTGAGCGCAATCTCCTTGCGTGTTGTGCAGCATCTGACAGGAAGTATCCCTTCCCCCTTCAGGGCGTCGCCCGAGCAATGCGCACATACACCCTTGCCTCCGTTTGCCTGAGATGCTTGGATTTATATTCGACTTCGTCGATGACAGGAACACTATGGTTTCTCTGGCTCGCGTGTGCGTTTGCTTTTGTGCAGCTGCAACCGACAAGATACCTCGGCACATCAACAATATTTATGAGCTCTTGTTGAGCCTTCCTCACGATTTGTGGAGGCTCCAGTTACAACGCCCCGTCGCCCGTGCAATGAGACAAAACGTATTTACACCGCAAGCATATTGGACTCTTGTGCGTGATACACTCAATAGCTCAGTTCCCTAACTAATAGATGCGGATGGATTGACAGGAGTTTGTTCGCGAGATGAACACCGAGGAATGGAACATGCTTATAGCTCGAGCAAAACATGTTAAAACCATAGGTTTAATCCGGGACACGCTGGAACCCACCACCGGTTCCATCACTTTTCGAAACAGGGCCCTTGTCCCACTCCAGACCGTTGATAATGCCCTCGCCAAATGTCCTGTTCCCATTCTCTTTCCTAGCCTCGAAGCTCTGCGTTCTCGGGTTCCGCAAGCACTCCTTCCCTTAGTTTTGCCTCCCACACTTCGACACATCGATATCCACTCTTTGGAAAGCAAAGCCGAGGAATATGCAGATGATTATTACCGCATCTTGCCATCTTTCCCTGCTTGCTGTCCGCAACTCCAGTCGTTCAAAATCACACTCGACGTTGGCATAGCGGGTCGGTTTTACGTGGTCAATCTCTCCCGCCTCTACCCGCACTTCATCGGCCAATGGACTCACCTCCGGTCGTTCACCGGCCCTGCCAACGAACAAGTGCTCCGACACCTCAGTCAACTTCCGGCTCTTGAGAACCTGGACTTGGATTTATCCGATTGGGATCTTGAGCTTGCTCAAGATCAGGCGAGTCTTACCCTCTCAAGAGCTCGGCTACGGGGAGTGAACTGTATCACCTGTCGCGCTATCTCGTTTGATAGCATCATCAGGGCACTTGAAGTCCTATTCGGCTTCTCCGAGGATCCTCAAGTCATCCCACGGTATCCAAGGCCAGTGGTACAGCGTCTCAGCATCACTAGCGGCCGTGACCGTAATTTTGTCACACCATGCTCGGATTTCATACCCGCTCTCATCGGGCTCATCTCCCTGGATGCTCTCCAAGTCTTTCACGTTAACAAGTCGTCTGGCAGAGTATTGGTTGCACCTGACACAGAGTCGTCGGTGTACCAGCTTCTGTGCCCGCTTGGCGCTTTCCCAAACCTCGTGGACGTGGACTTTTCCGTAGCCATGATAGATCAACATTCATATGGCCGCCTCGACGCGGCACAGGTGCTGCACCTCGCCAAAGCCTGGCCCAACCTTCGTGAGTTTCGTATATACGAAGCCGGGGTCCACTTTACGGTTCTCGAGGTCGCCGCTTTAAGGAGCTTTGCCCCCAGCTGCAAAGAGTTCCGTCGGCGTCCATCATAATGGATAAACACGACATGGCAGCAATAGCCGCGGATCCTGGAGTATTGAAGCGCGCAGGGCTGGCGTAACTGCCATCGGTGACAGCTGAAACAACTTCTTTACTTTTACAAACTATAGCCGGTACGCTTTCGCTCTGAGATATAATTGATGTAATCTCATCGTCAACGTATAATTCAATGTGTAGTTCCCGCCGTCAAGAGCATAGAAACGAATCTGTCGAAGCGGTTGTGTATTAGATCTCGTGTAAGACGTCGTCGAGCTAGTGGGCCTGTCTTTCCGATGCGAGAACGGGCGGAACTTGGTGGGGCTAATGTTCATTCACTAACTTTGTCGATGCGTAACCGTAGTAAAGCCACCGAAATTATAGTTCGTCGCAAACCTTCCGCAAATCTGAACCTTGCCTTCTTCTTGCTCATGATGACATCCAAACGCCATATTCTCGACTCCTTCGAACACAAGGACCATTGAAGGCACGCTACGATGCAATACATGCGAGGTTGCGTGCTGTTTCAGGCTACAGGAAACCGACAGTTAAGGACGACCCCTCCTGTTGATGGTCAAATCGAGGGCACGTCACTACTTCTCGAGTCTGAGAAAGTACTTAGAAGCTCAAGCGCTCACGCTTCATTGAAATTCGTGTTGAATGTGCTACGTATCTTGGTATATGACCCCTTCTCCAACCGCCGTCTCACGACGGTACCATCCTCTTCCTACCCTTCCTACTCACAACACCCTTCTTCATTTGCGCCTCTCTCGACTTATGAAGCGGCAATTGTCGCATTCGCTGAATCCCTGCCGTGAGTCATCCACTCTGTTAATTTAGGCTTAGGTAACGTTGCTGCCACAGCCAGCCCCTCACACGCGCCCAAGGCAACGCCTCAATCGCAGCCTAACCCATGCCGTTCTTCCGGCAACATGTACACACCAAAGCGCCACTTCCTACCCGAAATCCTCGAGCATATCTTCGACCTCGTTGACGACAGAAATAATCTGGTCTCTCTGACGCGTGTGTGTTCCCTTTTCAATGCAGTCGCGGCCGGCAAGATTCCCCGGAACCTCACAGACGTGTACGAGTTGTTGATGTGCTTCTCGCGTGACTTGTGGGAGGTGAAGTTGAAGTATTACTATGACGAGTCAAGCTACAGGGTATCGATGTGGAACCTCTCCCAACCCTGGGTGTTCGTACGTCATTGCTCTGCCCTTCTTAATGTTGGCAGGCCTAAGAGATCTAGGCTGCTCACTGTCTTTTATCCATAGTCATTCGTTCGGGAGATTACCTCTCACGACTGGCAGATTTTGACGAATCAGGCGGCCAAAGTCAGAACCATAGGAGAATGTACCTGCAATAAGAGTAGCTGGTCCACCAGCTACAATCCTGCCGACGAGTTCCAAGCTCTGAGAGCCCCTTGGTATCGGGGGAGAAAACTCATCATCGACCGCACGGTTGAGAACGCTTTTACACACACCGATTGTCTTCCCCCCGTTTTGTTCCCCAACCTTCAGGTTCTTCGAGGACAGATACCACCATACATGCTCCCAAAGGTCCTTCCGTCTCACCTTCAACACGTCTATGCCGTCTCGTTGCTCGTTTCTGACCAAGCGATACCTTGTCTTTCGAGCAGCTGCCCAAATCTTTGGTCATTTACGTTTGTGCCTGATTACCATCTCCTTCGCCACTCTCCCATTAACGACCTCCGCCTACTCCCACATTATCTCGCTCAATGGGACCGCCTCCGATCCTATAGCGGTCCGGCTGACAGTCAGCTACTGCAGCATTTCAGCCAGCGTCCTGTGCTCTACGGCCTGAATTTGCAGTTAGCCTCGCATGTTCCTCTTCTTCGGCTTCGCAGTTCAGAATCCCCTAATGTATCAAACAGACGCCTCTGCAGACTTGATTCTCTCAAACTTCGTACTTCTTCTTGCGAGGACGTAGTCAACGCGCTACGTGTTTTGTTCGCCCCGCTTGACGGCACTTTCCTTGACGATTTACAACCCTCTCTTCGACACTTCACTGTGCTGGGTGATTTCGAGAATGTTTCCCTCTCCGAACTACCCACGATACTCGTGGACCTTGTCTCTCCCAACGCGCTCGAGGCTTTTTGCATCAACGACCAGTGCGAGCCTCGGTGTCGTAATCACGCTTACTACAAGACACGCCTCCGTTACTCTTCGGCATTTAGACGGCAATGGAGGGGAATACAATATCATTTTGGTACCACAGTACATAAACAGGATGATAGCAATGCAAGGACAGTGGAAGCACAATCCCAATAGGGCCGCGAATTCTGACGCCGCCAGATCAAAAATATCGGACAGGAGCCGACACGCTGTTCGTAGACGACGTTAAGCACACGCACCCAAGTGCGAATACAATCGATTGACTGAGCGCACCAGGCTATATACTCATGACGAACTTATCATGACGCGCTGGTCAGGCCAGAGAAATAGCGTGAGCTCTGCGGGCGCCTTGGCGGACTCGCTTGCCCTAACCTGGCGATAATTCTCGTACTAACAACGGCAATGCCCTCGTGCATAGGGTACTACAGCTCGCATGATGACGAGGGGCGAGGGAGGGGAAGGCAAGGTGAAGGGAGATGATGAGGGACTGGAAGGCTTGGGCGACGATTGGCCCACTCTTATAGATGAAAGGGCCCAGGGACTTGACACTGCCATCAGGAAATCGTCTGAATGCATTTGGGCTTTAGCAGATGTAGGGATCTGAATCTTGAAAATGCATCGACAGAGGGGACACCAACGCACGTTCCGATTGGTCAATGTATTCTGCAATTCAATACAATTCACATTCGAACAATTCTGCTTCAACAAACCGGTCGATCCCGTCGTCTTGTGGGCATGAGCTGACACGGCCCACATTTAACAGCGTTTCGTAAACGGGTGCGGAAGTGTGATTTGGGGCATTTCTCCGGTCCTGCATTCAGTCTTTCGGAGCGGCAAGCGAGAGAGTGCTGTGAAGAGCACAGGAGTCTGCAACCAAGCAACGGCAAACAAAAGCCGACCATCTGCTTGTAGATACGATTAATAATGAGTTGTCTACCCGAAGTAGGCATTCTGTCTACGAGACCCTTCGCCCGCTTTGTGCCTTTCCCAATCTCACACAGATCCACTTCCTTTTCACTACTAGACATCCAGTAAACGACGGCCGCTTGACCGCAGCACAGCTGCTCGAGCTCGTTTGCGCCTGGCGATATCTTCGCGAGCTCCATGTCGTCATACAGGGTATCGAGTTCACTTCACTCGAGGTCGCTTCTCTAAGGAGGTGCTGCCCTCAGCTTCAGAGCATCCCACATATGCCCATCGGTATGGGAGAACATACTTTCATAGCGCTCACTGCAGGTACCGGACTGACTGAGCGCATCGTTCGTGCTAGGAAGTACACTTGGGATGCATAGTATCTGGGAAACTGGTAGCCCAAGGGATGAGATCAGCCGCATCATGCGCCAGACAGTCGTATAGGAGGAGGGTTTCAAGAGTGGTAAGCGAAGTTTCCGAGATAAAAGTCGTGCAGATGTAGATAATCAAGACGAGGGAGCTTGTCCGCCTTGCGTTCTTTAACCATACTATCAGTGTAACCTAGTTCTTACCGTCCGTGACGAGACTTGCTCCAATGGACTCCGCGTACGCCTGGAGCTCGGCCGCTAAATCATTCCGGTGCTTCTCTATCGTCACATGCTCCAGCTTCATCCCGGCGCAGGCTCGTCCGTCGAGGAATTCGAGCATCAACGTCGAGGGCACATTCCTGTTACGAGCTGCGGAGAAGTGCAAATGGACAAGGCGCGGCAAAAGAAGCCTCTCGCCTCCCCCGAGGCCCTGATCGGTACCTGGAGGAGTAAGGACACGGATGATGCTGATCAGGTGTTCTTCTTTGAGTTCTGTATCAAGGGAGAGGTAGTGCACCTGGGACGCGTTGCAGAATAGCCCAACCCAGAATGAGTATGCGGTAGGGAAGCGACTACCACTGAGCTTGAGAGTGTGAATCTCCGATAAAGGTATGTCGCGGTGGACGTTGCGAGTGAATACGTCGATCCATCGGTCGGAAAACGGCCATATGAATGATGCGACAAAGGGCTGGTTCTCGCCAGGGGGGTAGTAACGATACCAAGGCGCCTTGCCTTCATGCTCGGTCCTATCCCACATGTGAATCCTAAGATGTTTATTATCCAAATGAAGTCGAAGAGTTCGCGAAGGACTTTCAGGTGTATACGGAGTGAAAAAGAGAGTCGGGGGAAGAAAGGAAACGGACGTAGGTATGGAAGGGCTAGGATCCCAAGCGTCGACCTCCCAGATGCTGACTGGGATTGTGGGTGGGAAGTCGACCAACGTGAAGAACTGGGCAACGGAGGAGAAAGGGGCTTCTTCAATCTCGAGACTTCTGAGCCGCGGGAGTGATACAGCCACCTCGACATCACAACAACCGGACCTATTAAGGTTGCCGTACAGCCCCCTCTACGCCCTCCTAGTTAGGATCCATTTATCCTCGACCCACTCACTGCCGGTAATTCTTTCAATAACTTCTTTTTAACTTAGCCCTTCTTCTTCAGGTCTCTAAGTCCCCTGGATGAGTCATCCGCTTCCCGGCCCGTTATTTCCTAGGGCCACGTCATCCCTCGGTAAGTGTTCCCGGCCTCGTTCTCCCGAGTTCCCTTCCGATCCCTTCCGCTCGCTCCCGCCCGCTTAGCCCCGTCCCTCCCGTGTTTCTTTTCCCACCCTCCTTTCTTTTCCCCCCCATCTCTCCCTCCCCCCTCGTCCCGCTCCCCTCGTTGTCGCCGCCGTTCCCGACGGCCAGCGTCCACTGCGGCTGCCGCCGCCCCCGCCTGACAACGTTCGCCACCACTGGCCGGCCACTTCGC